TGTACTAATGCATTTAAAAAATCTTTAAGATACACAGTTAAGCAAAGGAAGCAAAGTGCAGGACGGTGCATCTGTTTTGCAAAGGGGAATGAGAATACGTATTTGTAATTGCTTGTATGTCCATGAAGAAATGGATAGAAGTGGCAGAGAACAGGGACAGTGGTAACCTGGAAGATTAAAAGCTAAGTAGATAGTTAAATGAGAGCCTTTTTACCATTCACTTTTTTAATGCTCAGATTTTAGAACCATGTGCATGTTTTACCTGTTTAAATAAATAAATAAATAAATTGTGCCCTGGCCAGTGTGACTCGCTTGTTTGGAGCCTCATCCCATGGACCAAAGGGTCGTTCGATTCCTGGTCAGGGCACAAGCCTAGGTTGCAGGTTCGGTTCCCAGTCAGGGTTCATGCCCGAGGCCACCAGTCGATGCTTCTCTCTCACATCAATATTTCTTTTCCCCTCTCTCTCCCTCCCTTCCCCTCTCTCTAAAGTCAGTGGGCCTGTCCTTAAGTGAAGATAAATAAGTAGATGAATAAGTTGTACTTTTAAAAAAGACATTAAAACATAGTTTTAAAAATAGTATCCACCCCTGGCTTGTGTGGCTCAGTGGATTGAGGACCAGCCTGCAAGCTGAAGGATCACAGGTTCAATTCCCAGCCAGGGTCTATGCCTGGGTTGCAGGCCAATGTTTAAAAAAAAAAACCCAACTATCCAAAGTACTATAAAGAGAAAGTGTGTGTGTGTGTGTGTGTGTGTGTGTGTGTGTGAGAGAGAGAGAGAGAGAGAGAGAGAGAGAGAGAGAGAGAGAAACAGTGCTTTAGTTTCCCACGCTGGCTTCAGGGGTGGGACAGGGTGGGGTCAGCTAATGTTCCTTACAAACCAGAACAGCCAGTTGAGTAATATCATTGAGCATATTATGATTGCGTCTTTCATGCTAGACTTACTCATTTAAATCTTTTGTGTAGCCTGATGGGTCAGCTGTATGCCATAGAAAGAATACAAATTTTGAAGTAAGAAACTTGCATTTGACTCTTGCCTCTGCTGTTTTGTGGTGTGAGGTTTTGGACAAGTTCCTACCAACACCTCTCAACGTTTGAAAAGAATGATTGAGCCCTGGCTGGTGTAGCTCAGTGGATTGAGCACGGGCTGCGAACCAAAGTGTCGTAGGTTCGACTCCCAGTCAGGGTACATGCCTGGGTTGCAGGCCATGACCCCCAGCAACCGCACATTGATGTCTCTCTCTCTCTCTCCCTCCCTCCCTTCCCTCTCTAAAAAAATAAATAAATAAAATCTTAAAAAAAAAAGAATGATTGGGATACATGCCAGTGCTTTGTAAGTTGGCAAATACCGTATAAAGAGAGTTATTATTACTTGTATTTTAGTTTGCTTTGAGCATGAATTGGCGCATCAAGTTGGTCATAATTGTGTGGCTGAATATTAGTCACAAACATAACAACCTCAGCACAAGGCGTAGAAAATCAAAGTGTGACTTCCCTCCACTCGCCTGCCCCGCTGCTGTCTGTTACACCATGTCTCTGCCTCCAGATCCCCCCTTCCTCTTAACAACTTCTTTCCTCCTGAACTTGGGCCACTCCAGTGGCTTGTATTCAGCAAAAATTATCTTTTCTGGTAAGTGGTGTATATATTTCTACCTTATGCGCTTTGGAATTATTTCCTTTCTGTTCCTCATAGAGTTTGAGTCTTCATAAATATTTTCTCCATGAATTTAGAGAGTGACTTTCTGACCTTCAGGGCGAGGTAAAGGGCTCCAGTGCCCTTATAAAGATGAGGCCTACTCTTTTCTTTCCCTCCGTTGTCCCCTGTGCTGTTCCATCACTTACCATCTCCCTGTCTTGTAATGTCAGTCTCTTCCTGAACCCTAACTCTGTATTCTGACCCGACAAGTATGTGAAGTCTCTGTCATCCCTAAAATAATTATTTCAATTTTAAATCTTTTCTGTTGTCATATTTTTTTCCACCGAAGAATTATTGCCTTTAATTTCTCAAGTCTTATTCATTCCTCAGTCTGTTGTGATTTATGATCTGACTTCCCTCTTTCCCCTTTTACTTGTATGAAGAGGTTGGTGGACTTCCCTCTGCCAAATTCAGTGGCTTTTTGGCTCTTGTTCTGCCTGACCGTTGATGACACCTTTTTGAAATGTACTCTGCCTTTGGCTTGATATACATTGATTGCTGGATTTTCTTCCCTCTTCCCCTAGTCTCTTTTGCTGGTTTTTCCCCTATCACCTGTTGCTTAAGCTTAGAGGTTACTCATACTTCTTCCTTGTTTGTCATCTATCATCTCAGTAGTTTTCCTTCTACAGTTGGTGTATTGCATTCATGACCAACAAGTTCAGACTGTTCCTATTTTCCATCTATACTCTCTCTCTCTTGAGATTTCATCCACTTCCATAGCTATACAAGCTAATGACTTCCCCCAACTCTCTTCTGCACTTGAAATTCTTGTTAGCTGCCTTTGGACTTTCTTGCCTGGTTGCAGGTACTTTGCATTTTCCTGTCTCCCAAACTAACACCTCTCTCCTCTCCCCCAGCGTGCTCATCTCCTGTGTTCCCAATCTCTCTCATCTCCTGTGTCCCAATCTCTATCAGCGTCAGCACCACCTTCCTAGTCTCTCATGCTGGAAACCTCCAGAGTCATCCTCACCTCCTTCCTGACCATTCACAAAGCCCTGTCACTTCGGCTTCTGAATATGCCTCATACATCTCCTGTTTTCTATCTCCACTCCGTGAAGTTTCTCACAAATGAAAGATAATCTGGTGTGCCTCTTCCTCAGACTTGACATTTTTTAATGACTTTCTGTTGCCTACAGAACAAAGTCTAAAGCCCTTTGTTCTCTCGGCAATAGGAAGATCCTTTACAACCTGTTGCTAACCTTCTTCCTTTCCACCAGCCCTGACAGCCCTGTCCCCCAGCCCCCTCCGCCATAGTCACAGGTTTGCTCCGCGTCACTTGCACGTGTCTGTGCCACAGGTCATGTTGTCTCTGCCTGGAGCCCGTTTACCTTACCATCACTCTGGAAGGTTCTGCTCAAGAATCATATCTTTTATGTTGCCGGTCTCTACTACACAAAATTGTAGTCCTGTAGCACTTTGTTGATGTCTCTAATATATTTATTCTATTTTAAAACTAACTTATAAACTGCTTTTTAAAAATTTTTATTTATTTATTTTTAGAGAAAAGGGGAAGGGAGGGAGAAAGAGAAGGAGAGATACGTAGATGTGTGAGAGAGACATTGATCAGTTGCCTTACACATGTGTCCCAACCAGGGATTGGCCTGCAACCCAGGCATGTGCCCTGACCGGGAATCGAACCAGTGACCTTTTGCTTTGTTGGATGACACTCAAGCAACTGAGCCACACCAGTCAGGATTAACTTAAGAACTTCTTAAGGACACATCTACATTGTATTATTTTCTGTATTGCTACAGAAGAGTACCTGGAATATAGAATTTTGATAATTACCTGTGGGGTGAATACATTCAAAATAAAAGAGAACTCAGCTCACAGCCTGCAGAGCTCTCATCTCGTCTTGTGAACCAAAAATTGAGGTGTGAAGAACTTGATTTCTGTGGTCAGGCACACCTGGGTTCACACCCACTCAGTAACACAAGCTGTTGCCGTTTCCTTACCTGTAAAGTGGTGATGATGGGGTGGCTGTGAGAATTAAATGTAAAATGCGTTGTCAGTCCTTGGTACACTATAACAACTTTTTTTAAAAAGATTGATTTATTTACTTTTAGAGAAAGGGTAAGGGAGGGAGAAAGAGGGAGAGAAACATCAGTGTGTGGTTGCCTCTCACGCACCCCAGGCACGTGCCCTGACTGGGAATCCAACTGGCGACCCTTTGGTTTGCAGGCCGGCACTCAATCCACTGAGCCACCCCAGCCAGGGCCATTGTAATAACTTTAAGCTATTATTAGGTGTGTAATGTATTTTTAATGAATAATAGTAATACTCTATAGTAATATTATGAGTTACATCTGTAGCCAAAAACGAGGTACAAGAATGGCCTGTTCTCATATGATCTTTCTAAGAGAACCCTTTCTTAACCACGCTGGTGACATCTTCCCAGCATCAGTGACTGTCAGCCTGTTCTGTTGCCAGTGAGGAGGAAGAAGAGTACCTGTTACCCTTCCCGTTATCTGTTATCGTTATTGTTGTTGTTTGTGCTCTTGGGATTCATTTTACCCTTTCCAGACACTGAGTTTAGATGGGAACAGTGATACCAAGAAGGAAGTTGAGTTTGAAGAATAGGAAAGAAGAAACTCAGGATAAGGATAAAGGTAATAATGTGGCATTTGGATTAAGAGTCTGAGGAAAGTAGAGTCTAAGAAGGGTTCTCCTTCCGTCCCATCACTGACCAAGTGTTACTGTCTGCTGACTGCGTACAGGGCACAGTGGGGATGAGGCAGGGATATCATAATCATTTAAGGCCTAGTTCTCACTGTAAAGATTTTTTAAAATTGAATACTTGAGATCATTGTAGATTTAAGTGCAATTGTAAGAAATAATTACAGAAAGATCCCTTGTACATCACTGTAGGATTTTGTCTTGTTAGTAATGAAAGGAAGATAGTTCGATGTGTAACTGGTATAAAACCACAGGTAGAAAGCACTTCACAACTTTGGAAAAGCTCAGATTACTCTGCTTAAAGCTGCAGCAGATCCAGTTTTCGGGCAAGTGTCAGTTTTAAGCCCAACCTCAAAGGATGAGTGTAATTGTATTAGGTCGGGGATGGCAGGAGAGACCCAGGGGAAAGGGAGGGTCTGCGTTCCTACAGTGAATTTGGTAAATAATCTAGACTTCGTATCTGCACACATATTATAAATTGGTTCTTTCCTACCTCCAGATTTTAGAACTCAAGTAATGATGAGTCTATTGTTAACCCCAGATTGTTACATTTTATGTTTTTGATATAGAATGCCTTGATTCTACTAAGAATCTGACTTACTGACAAGGTTTTTCTTCTTGTGCTTGTAGAATGACGGTAAAGACCGGCATGAGCACGGCAGCGAAAGGCGGAGGCGGGGCAACCCTGAGCCGTTGTCTAATGGAGGACCCCAGGGTAACGCACTGCAGGTGGTGGAACAAGATGAAGAAGAAGATGAGGAGCTGACACTGAAATATGGCGCCAAACATGTGATCATGCTCTTTGTCCCCGTGACTCTCTGTATGGTGGTAGTGGTGGCTACCATCAAATCAGTCAGCTTTTATACCCGGAATGATGGGCAGTTGTATGTATGAGTGTTTTGTTTTATTATTCTCAAGGCCAGTGTAGCTTTCCTTTTACAGCATGTCATCATTACCTTGAAGGCCTCTTCACTGAAGGGCCAGGAAGGCTACAGAGTTCTTCTAGCCAGAGCAGTTGAGAGAGTGAGGGGTTATGTATTACTTGATGCTTTGAGTACAGAGAATGAAAGCTGTAGAATTGTATTTCTTGTGTGGTGTCACTAAGATAGGGCTGATTTGTTTGTAACTGAGCAGGTAAAAGCCTTGAATAGTAACCTTTCCCATCTCAGAGCCTTTAGGCCTGTTGTTCTTTGCCTGGAATGTTCTTTTCTTTTCTAATTTAGGTGGACTAATTCCTATCATCCTTCTCATCTTGACTTAAATGTTAAGGCCAAAGATAACTTCTCTGATCCTCCTAACAAAATTAGGTACTTTCTGGTGTTCTTTCTCACAGCAACTTGTTCTTTTTCACTTGTAACAATATGCAAATGTATATTAATTCACCTTATTTGCTTAATACCTGGTTTCCTTCTGTGCTGCATGTCTTATCAGGGCACTTTGTTTCCAGGACGAGGTATGTAACAAATGCTCAGTGAAAAGAGTTGTTAAATGAAAGGATGAAGATTAATGTAAGCTGCACTAGACTCTTGGGGAACTGTCATGTAGATTTTCTGGTGCTGTTGTTGTCAGCCCTTTGCCACCAAGAAAAATGCCCTGATTCATGTGTCACCCAGTTCTGTCTTTAGGACTCTAGCAGGGCTCAAGCAAATTTTAAATGGACTTTAGAATTTGAAAGTGGCAAGTGGCTGAAACACTGCATGGGGTTCTGAAAGCCAAGCTATTAATCTTTGGGAGAAAGATTGAGACAGTGAGTGACAGACAGACAGTGGCGATAATAGCCAAAAGGGATTGAGGGATATTCTCTGTGTAAGTTAGAGCTAGTTTGGCTACATATTGTAGAACAGGGGTTAGCAAGCCATAGCCCACAGGCCAGATCTGCCTGTCACCTATTTCTGTAAATAAAGCTTTACTGTAATGCAGTCATGTCCATTCTGTTATATATTGTCTCTGCCGCCTTTATGCAGCACTGGCAGAATTGACTGGTTGCAACAGAGAGCATATCGCCCACAAAACTTAAAATATTTACTCTCTAGTTCTTTACAGAAAGTTTGCTGACCCCCATCATTAAAATCAAAACAACTGATTTAAATGATATGGATGTTTAATCTCTCACCCACAGAGTAGTACATGGGTAGTCAGTCCAGATTGGTAGAGTGGCTTCACATTCATCAAGGACTTGGGCTCCTCCTTCTTCCTTAGCTTCTATATCCCAGGTTATTGTGGGTGCTGAAGCCCCAGCCTTTGTTGAGGCAGCAGGAAACAGGAAGGGGTAGGGGACGAAAGGACATAAGACATACCTCTCAGCAGAGTTAACTCCTCTTTTTGGAGTTTACCCAATACATTTGCTTTAAGTACAGAGAATGAAAGCTATAGAATGTATTTCTTGTGTGGTGTCACTAAGATAGGGCTGATTTGTTTGTAATTGAGCAGGTAAAAGCCTTGAATAGTAACCTTTCCCATCTCAGAGCCTTTAGGCCTGTTGTTCTTTGCCTGGAATGTTCTTTTCTTTTCTAATTTAGGTGGACTAATTCCTATCATCCTTCTCATCTTGACTTAAATGTTAAGGCCAAAGATAACTTCTCTGATCCTCCTAACAAAATTAGGTACTTTCTGGTGTTCTTTCTCATAGCAACTTGTTCTTTTTCACTTGTAACAATATGCAAATGTATATTAATTCACCTTATTTACTTAATACCTGGTTTCCTTCTGTGCTGCATGTCTTATCAGGGCACTTTGTTTCCAGGACGAGGTATGTAACAAATGCTCAGTGAAAAGAATTGTTAAATAAAGGATGGAGATTAATGTAAGCTGCACTAGACTCTTGGGGAACTGTCATGTAGATTCTCTGGTGCTGTTGTTGTCAGCCCTTTGCCACCAAGAAAAATGCCCTGATTCATGTGTCACCCAGTTCTGTCTTTAGGACTCTAGCAGGGCTCAAGCAAATTTTAAATGGACTTTAGAATTTGAAAGTGGCAAGTGGCTGAAACACTGCATGGGGTTCTGAAAGCTAAGCTATTAATCTTTGGGAGAAAGATTGAGACAGTGAGTGACAGACAGACAGTGGCGATAATAGCCAAAAGGGATTGAGGGATATTCTCTGTGTAAGTTAGAGCTAGTTTGGCTACATATTGTAGAACAGGGGTTAGCAAGCCATAGCCCACAGGCCAGATCTGCCTGTCACCTATTTCTGTAAATAAAGCTTTACTGTAATGCAGTCATGTCCATTCTGTTATATATTGTCTCTGCCGCCTTTATGCAGCACTGGCAGAATTGACTGGTTGCAACAGAGAGCATATCGCCCACAAAACTTAAAATATTTACTCTCTAGTTCTTTACAGAAAGTTTGCTGACCCCATCATTAAAATCAAAACAACTGATTTAAATGATATGGATGTTTAATCTCTCACCCACAGAGTAGTACAGGGGTAGTCAGTCCAGATTGGTAGAGTGGCTTCACATTCATCAAGGACTTGGGCTCCTCCTTCTTCCTTAGCTTCTATATCCCAGGTTATTGTGGGTGCTGAAGCCCCAGCCTTTGTTGAGACAGCAGGAAGCAGGAAGGAGTAGGGGATGAAAGGACATAAGACATACCTCTCAGTAGAATTAACTCTTAGGAGTTTTACCCAGTACATTTGCTTATATGTAACTTGTTAGCCGTTGCTTAAGTCTAGTGGCCACACCTGACTGTAATGGAGTTAGAAACTAAGTGTTGGCCGGAACATTGGCACCGAGAATAAAAGTATTTTATGCTAATGAGAAATAAGGGGAGGGTAGATGGGTGACATTATCTCTAGACAACACCAGTTGCAGTCACCCTGAAGTTGAAAGAGAATAATTATAAACCATATTACCATCCTCTGACAATCTCAGCCTAGGTAGTTTGCATTGTAGATTCTAGTTCTTTCGTAAATCACTAATAATCTGTGCAGAAAGAATATTCAGTGAGGTAATTATTTCAGTATATAGTATCCACTAGATGGAGCCATTTGTCTGGCTCACAACTCTCCATATTTTAGAATTGTACTCTTATTTTGAAGCACTTATTGTAGACATCTAATAGCTGTTTTCTTGGGTTAAAAATTATTGGCTGGAGTAATGAGATGGACAGAAGTGACATAAGATATTAGTTGAATCAAGGAAAGAAAACTTGTGTTGGAGAGAGTATGTGGTTTGGGGTATACATCCAATTAGCACTTACCCGGGGCTTTTGCATTTTGTTTCATTATAGGATTTATACTCCGTTCACAGAAGACACCGAGACTGTGGGCCAGAGAGCCCTGCACTCGATCCTGAATGCTGCCATCATGATCAGTGTCATTGTTGTCATGACCATTCTCCTGGTGGCTCTGTACAAATATAGGTGCTACAAGGTGAGCGGGCATGAGGGACAGAGCTTTACTTTCCACTGTGTTCTTCTCGTTAAGATTTTATTTATTTATTTTTAGAGAGGGGGAAGGAGGGAGAAAGAGGCAGAGAAACATCACTGTGCTCTTGCACACCCCCAGCCAGAGACCTGGCCTGCAACCCAGGCACGTGCCCTGACTGGGAATCGAACCAGGAGCCTTTCAGTTTGTGGGACAGTGCTCAACCTACTGAGCCACACCAGCCAGGGCTCCACTTTGTTCTCTTTATGATTGGGTTTTTCTGTCATATACCTTACTTGGTATAGGGAAAAAAAGTTTTATATTCCAGAACTAAGTTAATTTTTAGTTTTCTCCCCTCATTGTGGAATATTTGAAAAATACAAAAAGGCCTAAATGGAAAACAAATGTTTTCATATCACAATCTAAATGGTTTTAACATTTTAATTTGTGGTATATATGAGACATTCGAAAGAAATACATCCTAAGACCTTTGGGATTCCATCATTCACAAATAGTGTTATGGGATTCATATTTTCATACTTGAGCAGAAAACAATAAAGCCACCTTCAGGTGCTGGTTTAAGTTCATTGGTGATTAGCTCCATTTCTGCTTCTAAATTGGTGATCATCCATTTCCTCACCGCATCTCCTACAGTAGCGCTAATTCTTCCCTTGGGAAACACAGCAGGGGAGGTTGTGCAGGAAAGACCCAGCTTCTGCTCCCTGCTGCTCCCTAGCTCACTCTCTAGCTAAGTGGTTTACTGCTCAATTTCAGCCACCTGGCACATATTTCAGATTTGCCTCAAAAAAAAAAAAAAGACCATTTATTGTAAGTCATAAACCTTTAGGGTAATTCTCAAGTAAATAAATATTAACTTTCCAAATATCAAAGTCTGTCTATTTTCTTATGGTATTTATTTCTCTGTGTGTGTACATATATGTATATGTATATGTGTACAAAATGTGTGTGTGTGTGTGTATGTGTTTTAAGATTTTATTTCTTTTTAGAGAGAGGGGAAGGGAGGGAGAAAGACAGGGAGAGAAACATCAATCAGCTGCCTCTTGCACACGCCCAACCAGTCACCTGGCTCGCAACTAGGCATGTGCCCTGACAGGAATAGAACCCATGATCTTTCAGTTTGTGATATGACACCCAACCCAATGAGCCACACCAGTCAGGGTTGTTGTTTTTTTTTTTTTTACATGGATGATATAAAATACAATTAGTATGTGTCCTGTCTTCACTTTTACTTTTGCATAAACATTTTTCCGTATTATAAATACTTAGAAAATATGTCTGATCACTATATAATATTTACCTCAGTGAGTGCATTGTAATGTATTTTCCTCATTTAAGGTGTTTGCAGTTTTTCAGTATTCTAAAAAAATGTCTTTATGCATAGAGCTTTTTCAGTTTTTCAAATTGTTTTCTTAGGGTAAAATTCCAGACACAGAATTTTTGGGCAAATTATCTTCATATCTTGGTATGCAAAATTTCCTTTTCTAAATCATACTATTAATTTGTACTTAATACTAGTAGTGAATGAGACTCTCTTGCCTTATCCCACCTTCACTAGCATTGAATTTTTTTAAAAATCTGTGCTGATTTTTATAGGTTAAGCAAAATGCCCTGATTTGTGTTTAGTTGATTACTAATAAGCTCAAATACCTTTTCAGTGTTCATAAACTCTAAAACTATGCAGGTTAACCTTGTTTGTTGAACGTTTGAGTGGGTGGAAGTGTTAACCACCCGCAGCCTGACATTAGCGTATGGAGAAGACTGAAGAGGAAATGTGCGTGTGGTGATGACAGGTAGTCATCAACACCTAGCAATGCAGAGAGCGAATGATGTAAACCCATGTAAGAAACGTTCTGCTCCCGCTGTTTACATGCACTCGTATCTTAAATACTTTCCTTGATCCTGTTTTCACCATATAGATTGTCTGCATATAAGCGTTTACCCGCCAGTTTCATTTCTCTGATTGATTGGACTCTCTTTGTTACCTTTATCTGGATTATGTGCTACTTTCACATTTTATTGGGAGTGTGTTTAGGGCCATGTCCCCACCTGCACATCTTGGAGATGGGACTGCAAGTTCATAACAGCTTGAAGAGGTTGCTTTCCTGAGCTGCTTCCTTTCTGTGATCTCCCTGCTACTTTCTGGTTCTTTTGGATTTCCCTTTTTCAGAAAGGTGGACTTTATTTTCCCAGTGTCAGGGCCAAGAAAGGTGAGGACAGAAATACAGCAAGGGCCACTTGCCTTATTACTCTTAGGAAACTACAGCTTCTCCAGTCTGATGGGAAGCTTCCCCTCCCTCTTAAGTTTAAGACTCCTGCTGCCCTCTTTGTCACCACCCCAGGATGATTTGGGGGCTGAGTATGAAAGAATGGAGAAAATGAAAAAAAAAACCAGAAACTGAGATTTTGCCTTCTTGGTGTGTGGAGACCTCTTTCCCTCTTCCTCTCGCCAGAACTAGAGGGCTTCTGCACTTGGTCTCACTGCCTTGCTAAGTAATACCCACTCGGGTTGCGTTGCATCCTGGTGGAGGAGGGTAGTACTAGAGTGAAAGTAGTGACACTAAAATTCACTGTCTACTAGTAAATTCTATTAAAATTCCCTGGTACTTCTAATTCCCCAGCACAACTACCTCTCTTTACTTTTCAGAGTCCTCGTTAGTAGCATGCATTCTATCTAGCCTTTATAGTTGCATATGGTGGGTGAAATGGGCTTTCACTCCTTTTTACCTAGAACCTATCTTGTTATATAAGGTCTGTCCAGAAGGTATCCAGCTATGTAATATGAAAAATAAGAGACTTTTATTGAAGAAGATGTAAGAAGCATTGTACACAGGACAATAACACCTCAGTCCCCTTCAGATTAGGCACCTTGGGATCTCACACAGTTCTCTCAATCACTGTCAGTTGTATTTTCCTGAATCTTATTGACTGTGTGAAATCTCTTCCTTTTCAATGGTGATTTTAGTTTTGGGAAATGCCAGAAATTGCAGGGCACTAAATCCGAGCAGTAAGGGGACTGAGTCACCTAGGTGATTTGATATTTCACCAAAAAACTCTGCATAAGACGTGATGCATGAGTAGGCACATTGTCCTGATGAAGCTGCCATCACCCAGTTGCCCATAGCTGTGGCCTTCTGAATCATCTGAATAGCTTTCAGGGAGGAATGTTCAAACTTAATGCAAAATTTGATGCAGATTTGTTGCTCTACCTGCTCATTTTGAATATGATGGCCACATAGTACATGTGCTCACTCAACAGCATCTACTGCCCCCACTGACTAGTACTGTGACATCACTGTTTACTCATGCACACACATCCATGCAGTTGGCTGCCAGGTTACATCAATGTGGTACACACTGTTCTCCACACTGTTCTTATATTAATAACAGTATTGGTAAATTTTATGTTTCTTTTAGCTGTGTTTCATTTGTATATTTATTTTTTAAATTTTATTTATTTTAGCCCTGGCTGGCGTAGCTCAGTGGATTGAGCATGGGCTGCGAACCAAAGTGTCGCAGGTTTGATTCCCGGTCAAGGTACATGCCTGGGTTGCAGGCCACGATCCCCAGCAACCACACATTGATGTCTCTCTCTCTCTCTCTCTTTCTCCCCCTTTAAAAATAAATAAATAAAATATTTTTAAAAATTTTATTTATTTTTAGAGAGTAGAAGGGAAGGAGAAAAGGAGAGAGTCAGTGTGTGGTTACCTCTTACACGTGCCCGCAACCCAGGCATGTGCCCTGACTGGGAATCGAACAGGCAACCCTTTGGTTCGCAGGCCAGCACTCAATCCAGTGAGCCACACCAGCCAGGGCAAGTTTTGCTTCATTTTAGACCATCTAAAAGGTTCATATTCAGCCAAATTTGTACATTTATTCATTCATTTGTGTTGTTTTGATTTGCTTTTTAATGTTCAAGTCTTAGCAAGCACAGCCATTTCTAAAGTTGTTTGACTGGTTTTGATTCCCAGTATAAAATAAAAGGAACTTTTGAGTCAGAAATTCAGAAACTTGCCAGAACCTATTTGGAAATAAGTCCTTATGATTTGTTATATCAGTGGTTGGTTGTGCAATGTCTGTAAGAAGCACAAGAAGCTAAAAAACCAAACCTTAAAAAGTAGCAGCCAATTATAAATGAGTCAAGGTGCTCTGGCTAGAAATAAATGGTAAAGATTTATTTAAGGGTCTTGCAGTTTGCACACCAGAAACATGACTAGGCAATACCCAGAATGTTCCAAAGAAGAAAGAAAAGCTAAGGGTTCTTATAGTAAAAAGTACATTCTTGAGAAGAATCAATTCTGCATTCTTAGCTTCTGGATTCATCTGAGATTGCAAGTCCCTGGATTAGTGATTTTCAATGAGTGTACCACAAGAATTTTTAAAACATCCAATACCTGACTTTTTAGTCAGGGACAGTGACCTCTTTTTCCTTAGACTGTCAAAAAAAAAATGACAACAGCCAACATAACAGTAGCCATCCAGTGTAAATGAATCTAAATTACATCTATTTTTTGTAAGATTGGCAAAAAATACATTTTTTGGTGTGCCACAGAATTTTAGTAATTAGTTTGTGCCATGAGATGAAAAAGGTTAAAAAATCGCTGCTCTAGAAGACCCGTGGTCTGGATAATGGACGTCAGGTGATCTGGTTCCATGAACATTCTTTCCTTAGTCCTTCGGGGATAATCAGAGGGTTATTCAAGGGTTTGATGTATATCCAGGCATTGATGCAAAACTAGAAAGTTCGAAAGTGTAAGTTCCCCGGCTAATTAAAACAAGAATAGAATCATTTCCTCATGCCTCAACCTACTTGATTTTAGTAATTTAGCAGCTTCACTGTGGTGACTCCATTTTGTTTCTTCACTTCAAAAGGTAGAACACAGAAAAGGCAGTTAATTAATACTTACCATTTGTTGTGTTCCTGGCCTGGATAGTGCAGGGTTTAGAGCAAACACTTGCTCTTCTGCACCAAAGCAGGGTTCTTTCCTTTCAGAGCCCGTAGCACAGGAAATCTGACTAGGGGCTTTTTGCAGGATGAGAAAGACCTGTTTTACACTCTCACGTTCTGGAAAAGGGGGAGATGCTATTTAGTCATCATTCGAAGAGGCTTTGAGTTCAGATAGTAATTCAGAAAAGAATGAAATAAATGACCAATCTAAATAGTAAAACTGTTTTACAACCATTATTACAGGCAAAGGACTAATATTTTTATAATATGTAGATTACTTATAAATCATTAAGAAAATTATGAACATCTTATGAGAAATTTTAAAAATTTCAAGCAGGAAATCTAGATGGTTAGTAGCAAGAACCATATATATATATTTCCTCATTAGGAAAAAATGCATATTAAAATAACAAATTAACATTTCACCTACTGACTTGGTAAAGATTAATCCAGTCTTTTTATTTTTGTGAAGTCACTAAACCAGTACATATCAATAATCAATGATTAGAAAAAGTTTGTAGACTTTGAGTCAGTAATTTTGCTTTCATGATTTATTCCAAAGAAAGAACTAGAAATAGGGAAAAATATTTTCATGCTAGGATATTCATCCTAGCATAAATTATAATTGGAAAGAAAAAGAAACACCACAAATTTATGCATAAGAAAAGTTAAGTTTGGGGATTCATCTATATAAGTAGAATATTAGTGTCATTTAAAAATCATTTTCATGCCCTGACTGGTGTGGCTTAGTGAGTTGGTCATTGTTCTGTAAACCAAAAGGTTATTGGTTCGATTCCCAGTCAGGACACATGCCTGGGTTGCAGGCCAGGTTCCCAGTTAGGGGTGTGTCAGAAGCAGCCAGTCTGTGTTTCTTTCACATTGATGTTCTCTCCTTCTCTTTCTCCCTCCCTTCCCCTCTCTCTAAAAATAAAATCTTAAAAAAAAATTGTAAAAATAATTTTCAAAAAATATTTTGTGGCAGAATATATGTGTAACAAAAAGTAAGTGTGAAAGAGCAGAATGTAAAGCTGTATTATTACTTGATTCTAATTTTGTTAAAAGGTCTTCACACATGCCTACACATGCAAACAGAAAATATGCCTGAATAAAAAATATTAATATTAACTTTGGTTATCATTGGCCAGTGGGAATTGTTTTTTCCTTTTAGTATTTCTATATTTTCTAAATGTTATATGCATATGTTACCTTTACATTTCAGAAAAATGCTGTGTTTTAAAATAAACACCTCTATGTTCCCTTGCTGGAAAAAGAAAAAGTAAAAAGCAATTCTGAAGAAAGATGAGAATTTCTACTTTTTAATGTTTGTTTTAACCCTTCCTTAATGTGGAGCTTAGTATGGAATACCAATATACATCTTCCACTTTTTAAAGCTTTTCTGTCCCATAATATCACATACACTTTTTAGTTTTGTAACTTGGATTATTTCTAAAGCTGAGACTTGTGAGAATGGTTGGGCAGGATGCAAGTGGGCAGATTTCTTTCTGCCCACATTTTATTGTTTTGCAGAGGAAATAGAGTAAAGGCTCCCTTTAGAATATTTTGCTAAAGTTGAAGTATTTAGAGGACAATGGACAGGTGTCTTCAGGTTACTTTGATATGTAGGAAACACGGGAAGAAATGTTACAAAGCAAGTATAGTGAAATGTGAATGTAGACTGTAGGTGGTATATCAGTATTCACTGTAAAAATCTTTAAACTTTGTAGTGTTCAAAAATTTTTATGAGAAAGTATTTGTGGGAGAACACTAGAAATTAACCTTGATCAAGTATTAAGGAAAGAGAGGCAGCAAACATTTTAAAGAAGTCTTTTTTTCCCCCAGAGGAATTCATGATCACAGATCAATTACCTTGAGTGATCAAAACAGGACCACCAGAGAAAATTAACATAAATTCTAGTCACATCTAGACTTTGGTGACTTAGAGCCTGATGATCTGAACTCCTGAATCTGGGGGTCAGGGGAAGGAGATTTAGAAAATAAATGAAGACAAAACAATATTCTTGATTTGGAGAGGTATTTTTTTCTCTCCTTTTTTCAATGTTTGATTTGAAAGTTATTAAGTAGCTTCTTCTGCTGCAAAAGAATAAAATTCATTGAAAGCACAGCAATAATGGATATATGCACCTTGGAATAATTTCACTTTTGATTGGAAATTACTTGGCAATTTATCATGCTTGTCATTCTGTTTTTAAAACCTCCATAATTTTTGGTTGTATAGTAGTTTCCTAAATATACACATTATGTAAAATTACCATTTAAAATGTTCATCTTGTGTAATATATTATAGAAATCAAATTCTGATTCTATTTCTCACATTAACAAGCTATACATGAGTAATAGAGACTAACATTTATATGGAACCCTGAATTCTGAATGACAGTAATGGATTTCTAAGTGTTCCAAAGAATTCGTAATAGTAATACATTCCTAATATGAAATAAAAGTAGAAAGCATTCCAATACTTACTGAAACTTCAGATTCTGCATATTCTTTTATCAAATAGTTATATAGTTTTGAAAGCCTATTTTCCTTGTATAGTTAATGTGTGCCTGCAAAGGTCACCTAATTGAAAATTATTTTCAATTTTATTGAATTTTTATCACTTATTTTATTCAGTTTATTTCAGTAATACTACAAAATTCCTCCACTGATAATATTGCTACTTTATTTTCTTAAGTTACTTTATTGCTGTTCAGTTACAGTTGTCTGCATTTCCCCACCACCACCACTCCTCCCCATCCCAGCCAGTCCTACCTCCCTCCCTTGCTTCCACTTTCTCCATTGGTTTTGTCCATGTGTCCTTTATAGTAGTTCCTGAAAACCCTTCCCCCCACTGTCTCTTCCCCCCTACCCTCTGGCTACTGTTAGATTGTTCTTAATTTCAGTGTCTCTGGTTATATTTTGTTTGCTTTTTTCTTTTGTTGTTAAGTTCCAGTTAAAGGTGAGATCATATGGTATTTGTCCCTCACCACCTGGCTTATTTTCACTTAGTGTAATGCTCTCCAGTTCCATCCATGTTGTCGAAGAGGGCAGGAGCTCCTTCTCTTTTTCTGCTGCGTAGTATTCCATTGTGTAAATATACCATAGTTTTTTGATCCACTCATTTATTGATGGGCACTTAGGTTGCTTCCAGCACTTGGCTGTTATGAATTGTGCTGCTATGAACATTGGGGTGCTTAGGTTCTTTTGGATTGGTGTTTCAGGGCTCTTAGGGTATAATCCCAGCAGTGGAATTGCTGGGTCAAAAGGCAGATCCATTTTTAGTTTTCTGAGGAAATTCCATATTGTTTTCCACGGTGGCTGTACCAGTCTGCATTCCCACTAACAGTGCACTAGGGTTCCCTTTTCTCCACATCCTCTCCAACACTTGTTTGTTGACTTGTTTATGGTGGCCATTCTGACCGGTGTGAAGTGGTATCTCATTGTGGTTTTAATTTGCATCTCTCTGATGGCTGGTGATGCTGAGCATCTTGATAATATTGCTACTTTAAAGTTTAAATGTCAACTGTTGACTCTGTTGATAATTTGGTATTTTAGAATTCATTCTTTTCAAAATTTCACCTAATTCTAAAGGAACAAGTGTCTGTATATGTCTTGCTGAAATTTCTGTTTACTTATAAGTTGTTCAGCTCCAAGGAGTTCTATATAAGAACACACTGAACCCAAAGCCATATGTGTTCGGTCATTTGAAAAGAATAATATATACAGAAATAATATACTATTTTTGAAGTAAGAAATTTGTAATTTTTTAGGGCTATGGGATCTGTTAATTATATTGAAATTCTTTTCTAGGTCATCCATGCCTGGCTTATTATTTCATCTCTATTACTGCTGTTCTTTTTCTCATTCATTTATTTGGGGTAAGTAGCAAAATAATTGGTCTAATTTTTAGAAATTAATTCTCTTTGGGGTCTCTGTTAGTCATTTAAAGCCATGTCTTTTATTGATGAAGTACTCTTTAGTTATAATTGTTTCCATAGACAGGTCATACTTGGTATATATACGTCAAGTTAATATTACCAGTAGGGATATTACCAGTGCTGGAAAAAATCAGGAGGGATACCTGCTGAGGAGTGAGCATTCCCAACTCCAAACTGGACCACCCAGCACCCCAGGGTTCCAGTACCAGGGAGATAAGTCCCCATGACTTCTGGCTGTAAAAAACAGTGGGAGTTGAGGTGGTAGAAGAAATTGCCAGATTCTCAGAAGGCTCCTTTTAAAGGGTTCCTACGGACTTAGGACTTACTGAGACCTACCCTCTGGGATTCAGCACCAAGGCAAAAGCTGAAAGGGCACAAGTGACATACGGGAAGAAAGTGAAGTGACTGGAAACAAGACAAGTGCCAGGAAACAGCTCAGGCAAACCTCCAGCACCCCGGCAGTGGCATTGTCCCCTCTCTAAGCTCTCACCCCGTGCAGAGCCACAAAACTGTGAAATGGGTTTCTCCACCCTGGCAATCACCTAAGACTCCGCCCCACACGATTTACAGGTATGCCCTTCTACAGTAGGCCACGCTACTAAGACAGGGAGTCAAAGCATCTCTATCTAATACACAGGGAGGCTGCCAAATTGAGGAGACCAAGAAATATGGCCCAAATGAAAGATCAGATCAAATCTCCAGAAAAAGAATTAAACAAAAACAGAGATAACCAACCTATCAGATGTAGAGTTCAAAACACTGGTTATCAGGATGCTCAAAGAATTCACTGAGTATGGCAATAGCATAAAAAAGACCCAGGAAGAAATGAAGGTTACACTAAGTGAAACAAAGAAAAATGTACAGGGAATCAACAGTTGAGAGGTTGAAGCTGAGAATCAAATCAATGGTTTGAAACATAAGTAAAACAAAAGCATTCAATCAGAACAAGAAGGAAAAATAATTCAAAAAGAAGATAAACTAAGAAGCCTCTGGAACATCTCCAGATATACCAACATCCAAATCATAGGGATGCCAGCAGAAGAAGAAGAGCAAGAAATTGGAAACTTACTTAAAAAAATAAGGAAAACTTCCCCAATCTGGCGAAGAAAGTAGACTTCCAGGAAGCCCAGAGAGTCCGAAAGAGATTGGATTTAAGGAGGAACACATCAAGGCACAGCATAATTAAAATGCCAAAGGTTAAAGATAAAGAGAATATTAAAAGCAGCAAGAGAAAGGCAGTTAGTTACCTACAAAGGAGATTCCATAAGACTATCAGCTGATTTCTCAAAAGAAACTTTGCAGGCAAGAAGGGGCTGGGAAGAAGTATTCAAAGTGATGAAAAGCAAGGACCTACAACCTAGATTGCTCTATCTACCAAAGCTTTCATTTTAGGATGGAAGGGCAGATAAAATGCTTTCCAGACAAGATAAGGCTAAAGGAGTTCATCATCACCAAACCATAATTATATGGAATGTTAAAAGGACTTATTTAAGAAAAAGAAGATAAAAACTATGAACATTAAAAAGGCAACAAATTCACAACTGTCATCAATTAACTGAATCTAAAAAAACAAACTAAGCAATCAGAATAGGAACAGAATCTTAGATATGGAGATTCTGTGGTACTGGTTTCCCATTTATATGAATGGTAGAGTTTTCTGTTAAAATAACTTTAGGAAAAAAGTGAATTAATTTAAAGAAAAATGTTAAATAACAGCATAGTTGATATAAGATATAAAAATATGAAGATGTGATATGAATATCAAATGTTTGGGAACCCTAGTTCTAAGCAGTGCTTTGATAAAAATTATTGTACATAAATCATATTACATCTCTGTTTAATTTATTTAGGGAAGTGTTTAAAACCTACAACGTTGCCATGGACTATATCACTGTTGCACTCCTGATCTGGAATTTTGGCGTGGTGGGAATGATTGCCATTCATTGGAAAGGCCCTCTGCGACTCCAGCAGGCCTATCTCATCATGATCAGCGCCCTCATGGCCTTGGTGTTTATCAAGTACCTCCCAGAATGGACTGCGTGGCTCATCTTGGCGGTGATTTCAGTATATGGTAAAACCCAAGACGGATGGATACTTTGGTTATCATAGAAAGACCTCACTGGTGTGTTTTCCTTCCCAGTTATCTTGACTTACAAAAACGATAGTGGTTATATCCCACAGGACTTCAGTAAATAATTAATTAGCTATGGTATGTTTTTCATATAAGAATTTCAATTTTTTTGAGGTTAAGTTCTTAAAAAATGTTTTATTACCACTTCCAGTTTAACTCGGTGATAGACTAGTGGAGGGATCCACAGATTTCTGGTCAGAAGACTGAGATTCAAATTCTGTCTCTACTCTGTCCACCTTTATGACCTTAGGAAAGTGACTCAGGCTGTTTGAGCTTCAGTTTCCTCATTGGGAAAATGGGAAGTGTTTCCCAGAGTTGTATAGTAAGAGTTCAGAATATATGTCAAAAAGCACTAGCAGCGTGCTTAACACATAAAATGCTCATTTAATTTTTTTAAAAGTATTTATTTTTAGACAGAGGGGAGAGAAGGGAGAGAGGGAAAGAAACATAAGTGTGTGGTTGCCTCTTGCATGTCCCTTGTTTGGGGACCTGGCTGGCAACCCAGGCATATGCCCTGATTGGGAATCAAACCCACAACCCTTTGGTTTGCAGGCTGGTGCTCAATCCACAGACCCACACCAGCTAGGGCTCATTTAATTTTTAAAATCAAAATCAGGTTACCTGTTTTTTATAAGTCAACTTGAGTAGAATTATTCTTTTCAAAATAAAACTTCTTTGGGTAGTGTGGGATTGAAATTCAGTACCACCCAGTGTCACATGGGTTGTGAACAGTCAGAATGTACCCTAGCCATGAATAACCACAGCGGCTGTACAGATGTGTATTCTGGCTGTTGCCCTGTGTGAAAGCCAAAGAGATCCATTTGTAGAGGCAGTGTGTGGTTCCTGTATTATAACTAGGTAGTACTCTTTCATTCCTATACAGTTGCTTATCAAAATGTCAGGGGACCTATAATAGGAAGCCTCATTATCCCTACTTGATTGACAAAGAAAAAGTCTGTGAAACTAAAATTGGATTGGTTCTGTTCTCATATAAAACTAAAGTCGTATACTATCTATGGCTGACTTTCGTAATGACTTAGGTTGTATACTAGTACTTGATAGTCTGCAGAGTACTCATCAGTTATTCCATAGCTATGATTGAGGATGCCAGTTCTGAACTCAATCTGACCAGCAACTGGTAAACACTGTGTGGTCAGAGATTGTACTGATGTGTTCTGTTCACTGCCTTTTTCAACCACCAATTTGCCTTTACCTTCAGAGGGACGCATAACGTCTTTACCTAACTACTTGTGGGGTACTTCCGCAGTCCCAGCATTGCACATAGTCCTTGCCGGCTACATCTTAACCACATCCAGCTTTCTCCAGAAGCACGGGAATAACGTCACACTGATGATGTCATCCTGTGCAGAGATTCATTGGACTTCCTTTTTGAGGACATACAAATATTCAGGAAGGAGCTCAGAAAAGGGGGGTCCTGCCACTCCAGTTAAATTCCTGAAAATTATTATTATTTGGTAAACTGAGGGCTTCTGCATCTCTGACACTGTCAAAAAATAGCAATTGACCCTCTCTGCACCCACAATGTTAAAACAAGCCCCAATACTATTTATGCATTTTGGGGAATCTGTAGGCATCATATTCGTCACTTACAAATTTTACCTAAACCTTTTCATACTGTTACTCACAAAACGCCCATCTGGGATTGGGGCCTCCCACAGCAAAGGCTCTACAATCTGTCCAAATTGTAATACAACAGCCACTCCCTTGGCGCTCCCTCTCCCTGCCCCCAGAGAGTCGTTTGCTGTAGATGCTTTAGCAACCTCCTCTCGTATCTCCTGAAGTCTCTGGACCATCCATGATGATCATAAATTGATGACCATGATGATCATCCATGATGATCATGGATTTCTGGTGTGAGAAACCTCCCATCTCAGTTCCATGCTGTGCACCATTAGAATGGCAGTTTCCGACTGCATACAGAGCTCTCCCAGGCCCAGGTTCTCGCATACCTTCAGGATGTGTGACGCTCCAGATCCTTCCACTTCATGTTCTCTGTATCATGGAGGCAGCATTCTACAAGTTCACCCCAGCCACCAGGGCCTCCGGGCTAAGTCCAGAATGTTACCTACAGGAGAGAGCTAAGTCTGGGCCCTGTAGAATACCCCACCAACAGGAGAGGTTGTTGGCCCCTCCTCAGTTCTTTGTTATTTGACAAGGTACTAGAGAATGTCACCTCTCTCTGGGACCCTTGGCTACTCAGGAGCCCTTCAGGATGAAGTAGGTGAACAGCAGTGGAAGTTTGAGCACTTTATGGACTGTGTCCATACTACATGTGATGGAGCTCACTGGAGAACTGCTGCTTGTCATTCCTTATCCCCACGTCCTTGACGGAAGAATGGAATCTGAGGGTCAGCACAATTAGGTGAAGTTGAGGTGGTCATTAACTTCCACTGGCCAACACCTGGCTGCACCTGTGCATTTTTATAGGTTCTTGGGCCATTGCCAATGGTCTAGACATCTGGTTTGCCAGTGGTAGCAACAGCACCTACTTATGCAAGGTTTTCCTCTTTGGGGGATGTAGCTATGAGAATGTCTCGCCTCACAAATACCCAAAATATAAATCAAGGTTACATGTGTCTCTGTACATATTAAAGCTACAATACAGGTCTCACCTTATCCACTTTGGAGTTCCAGACACTGGGTTTTTGTTTTTGTTTTTTAATATTTTGTTTTTTAGAGAGAGGGGAAAGGAAGGAGAACGAGAGGGAGAGAAACATGGATGTGAGAGAGAAACATGAATTGGGAGCCTCTCATACACCCTCAGCTGGAGACCTGGCCCACAACCCAGGCATGTGCCCTGACCAGGAATCAAACTGACCACCCTTCGAACTGCAGGCCAGCACTCAATCCACTGAGCCACACCAGCCAGGGCTCCAGACATTGTTAATGATGACATTAACATTTCATTCCTAAAAATACACAATGCTGGGCTCTGAACAAGGTGTTCAGTGGAACTTTCCCCTTCCTTAGCAGTCTCAGGCTGCAGGCATGAGCACCAATATGACATGTAGAGCAAGTTAGAATTTAATTAAACATGCCATATTTCCATAATCGGGGAATTGTAGTGAAGAGTAATGATGAGCCTGGTTCCATTTTGGATATTTAAAAATAAAATACTAGTTCTGGAGAAGAACTTCCTGAGTTCAAATCCAGTCTCTTCTACTCTGTCACTTACTAGCTACGTGGCCACAGACACATTACTTAAGCCCTAAGTCTCAGTTATTAGGCAGGTTAAATTGAACAATACATAAAATACACATAGCACAGTATCTGTCAATAAATATTAGCTGTTACTTTTTTTTTTTTTGGTATAATCCTGTGAAGTAAGCAAGGCAGTGGTCCTTGTTTTACTGCTAAGAATCCTGAAGTTTTTAAAGGTAAAGTATTTGCCCAAGCTTACACTGTTTGATATAGAATGAGAATCCCAAATTCAGTATTCTTTCTACTACATTACTCTTTCTCTCCATCAACCCTTTATTTCTTCCAAACATTATACAAATATGATTACCTCTAGAGCTTTGAGTTCCTCTATAATACAAGACTTTTGTATCTAATATTTAGAGCAGCAGTTTCCTACCTTTTTCATCTCATGGCACACATAAACTAATTACTAAAATTCTGTGGCACACCAAAAAATATATTTTTTGCTGATCTTACAAAACAGCAGGTATAATTTTGGTTCATTACACAGAACAGCTGTTGTTGTGTTGGGTGTTGCCATTTTCTTACCTGGCACGCTGAGGGCAAGGAGGTCAGCGCCCCGACTGCCTACCTTGTCAGGTGTCACACGCTTTAGGAATCCTCGCGGCCTGCCGGTTGCAAATCACTGATGTAAAGTGATGGTTCTCAATTTCACTTTTCACCAGGTCTCAATACACTTTATTTTGTCACAAAGGTTATTAATTCATTTCAATTACTCTAAAAATAAGGGAGTTTATTGCTTAGCAGTTCTACAAGAAGAAGGGTGTCATAAAACCAAGATAGTGACAAGACATGCAGCTTCAAGCAGGTTGAAAATCTCATTATTTTGGAGTGCAGCAAATTTCCCTTCTTTTATCCAAAACGAACTGCAGTGGAAGCAGTAGAAGCAGTGAGAGTAGCGATTTCTTGCGTGTGTGTGTTTTGTTACATTAGTAGCAGCAGTAGTGTACAGACATGACCGTTTGAAAGCGTGAGGGTTTTTAACTAAATGCATCTAAGTGATTGTAATGTCAACACACACTGTTAAGTCTTCCTTCACAAATGTAGCAGTACCCATTTTATATTTTTAAATGTTCGAATTTTCTACATTCTGAATTTTCATGACAGAAAATGTAAGAAAAATTGCTGTTGATGGAAAGAGATGATGGTAGAATCAAGAATAATTTAGGCAACCCTGGCTGATGTGGCTCAGTGGATTGAGTGCTGGCCTGCAAACCAAAGGGTCGCCAGTTCAATTCCCAGTCAGGGCACATGCCTGGGTTGCTGGCCAGGTCCCCAGTAGGGGGCACACGAGAGGCAACCACACAGTGATGTTTCTTTCCCTCTCCCTTCCCCTCTCTAAAATAAATAAATAAAATATTTTTAAAAAATCATTTAGGCATATTGTTTCTCTCTGAGTTGCTGTCCTGTGAAAATACATTTGTTCTAAAACCTAAACATGAAGTGCCTTTGACAGGAGAACTAAAGAAATGTTAAACTCTCTCATGGAAAGGTTTATTAGTTATTTTGTTATGTTTAAATTTATTTCCCTTTTGTTTTAAGCTCCCATAAGTACATATACTACCTTTTAAAAGGAGAGGAGACAAATCTCTTCTCTGCTCTTCATATTTTGAAAAGTTTAATCAAATACCTTTATTAACTTCCTCTTAGAGTAAAGCTTCTGTGTCTCATAGGTTGGGTTTGTTTGGAAATGACTTGTCCCTGTTTCACCTTACTGGAAATTGACAAGTGTACTTACTGCTTTAGAATAGTTCCGTCTTATTATCTCTGACTCTTTTCTTCAAACTGGGAAGACTTATTCCTAGAACCCAGTGATGATACGTTGTAAACTAACCAAATAGTCAAAATGAAAATGAAATTTGCACAGGCCCTCGGTATGGTTTTGTGTATTTTGTTTAGGTTGCCCCTCCGTCAGTTTACCTGCTGTTTACTTCATATTCGTTCCACATCTGTTTGCGTAAGAAAAAATTAAACTTTGTCTGCTGGTTGATTTCTCTCTAACACACCCATTTACAAGTTTAGCCAATACTTTTTTTCAGATGTCATTTCTATTTTTCTTTCTAGATTTAGTGGCTGTTTTGTGTCCAAAAGGCCCACTTCGTATGCTGGTTGAAACAGCTCAGGAGAGAAATGAAACTCTATTTCCAGCCCTCATTTACTCCTGTGAGTATTCCGGGATGGTGTTAAATTAGTAAACAGCTTAGAGTGTGTAGGGACTGACACATGTAAATGCGGTCGTTGTCCTGGTGCTTTGTCTCTCCTGAACGCACGGCATTTTAATGGGACTCCTGCAAGTCTCTGTTTTCCTTGAAAATCACTGTCTTCTACCTGACACTGGTTCAAGAGTTTTTAATATGTGTACAGATAGAAGAAATATTTAGAGGTTGGGAAGCCAGTATTCTCACTTGAAATCTTATTGGGCAAGTGTTACTGAGTACTTGTTATATACATATATTGCAGGTGACCCTTGCCCTCGCTTATGAAAGAATTGTACTGTTCCTTCAGAATGGGTTTGCCTTTTTTTTTAGTCATACTCTTCCCATCTTTCTTTTTTTATATATATTTTATTTATTCAGTTTTTTAGAAAGTGGATGGAGCTAGAGTGAGAGCGAGAGAGAAACATTGATGTGTGAGAGAAACATTTTCTTTTTTTTTTTCTTAAATATTTTATTTATTTATTTATTTCTAGAGAGGCAAGGGAGAGGGAGAGAGAGAAACATCAATGTGCGGTTGCTGGGGGTCATGGCCTGCAACCCAGGCATATGCCCTGGCTGGGAATCAAACCAGCGACACTTTGGTTCGCAGCCCGCGCTCAATCCACTGAGCTATGCCAGCCAGGGCCTCTTCCCATCTTTCAAATGGGCATTGACCCAATCTCCCACAGAGCACTGTGAGGGACATAAAGATAAGTAAGATCCTTTACTTTACCTTCCCTTAGCTCATTTGCTTACAGTTTAGAGGTGAGATAGGACAGGTATATACATGAGTGACATCCAGGACAGAATGTTATCAGATTCAGAAGAGACACAATGAAAGTGTAGAGAGAGTTCAAAAGAGGGAAAATCTGGCTGGGGAATCAGGGGAGAGTTCCTGGAAGAGAACATTTTGATTGAATCTTTTAAAGATGGTTTGGATTTCAGCAAGCACAGATGGAAATGGACTCCCAATGTGGGCTTGTCACAAAGAATGGATTGGTGGTGTAAATGTCGGATCTCTATATAAATTTAAAGTGTTCAGTTTGACTAGAACATGAAGTACAAAATGGGGAGAGTACTTGGAAGAGTTTGGAAAGGCGGATTACAGCTTAGAGTGCCTGGTTTAGATCTCTGTACGCTTTTCATAATCCCTGGAGAATCCTGAAAGGTTCTTGAACAGAAGAATAAAGAAACAAGAATAAAGAAGAAAACGTGACGGGGACCAGATGTGACCCACAAGCCTGAAATATTTACTATTAGGCCTTTTATAGAAAGAGTCTATTGACCCCTAGTTTCTGTAGTGATATTAAATGTTAAAGGAGTTTGTAGCAGTATTTTTTCATACTTGCATAGATCAAATAAATACCTGCTGCCTTTGTTGCCAAGAAGGCTACAGAAATCCATAAGCCTTGTGCATGATGGTTGCCTTTCTGTTTCTCTTACGTGGGTTTGGATTCAGTTGAACAGGGTCCTGCCTGGTTGGCTTATGCTGGCTTCGATCAGTTCATCGTGTGACATCACTGTATGATGTAACTTGTTTGACCTCAAGTAACAAAGCCACGAATAAGTGTGCCTACTATACAGCCTTCATCCTCTTTGATTGTACATTTCCTTTATATTATAAGAGTATTAGGAACATCGGTATAATTATAAAATCAATGATAGAAAGCCAGGGAGACATAGATGCCAAGTATTTTGTTTAAAATTGCTTACTCTGACTGGATTGGGCTTTTGGGTCTTGCCGTAGCCCTTATGGTATGTGTTTTCATGTATTTTTATATTATTGTTGGTGTATTTTCAAGATAAATTCCCAAAAGTGGTATTCCTGGGTTGGAGGGTTAATGCATATGTAATTTTGTTAAATGTTCCCAAATTCCCACCCAGGAGCATCTGGGCCATTTTTCATTCCCCTGCAATATAGGAGAAGCCATTTGCCATTTTAAGGTATTCACGTTGTCTCTCAACTGATATGTAACAGAGATGTGTGCGTGTGTACTTAGATTTATATAGGTACGTATTTGTGGAAGGGACATAAAAGAGGCCAGTGGACTCTCCCCTTGGTTTATTGCTTTCAACCTTTTTTCTTATTCTCTCTGTATAATGTGGGTTAGTAGTATTAAAAGTCCCAGAAGTGAGACATAATATGAAGGAAACTTATTCCATGCATTTTTAGAATTATAATAAACATCTGAAACTCTTGGGAGCCCATGTTTGTTCTCTGATTTGGTTCCAAGAAGTAATTTTTATCATTGAATTTATGCCATTTCAGGATATTCAACTAGTCCACCTATTGTCTCAGTGGAATCTTGCTGGCCTGACCAGTTTTTCTTTTGGCTACTTTTCAGGAACTGTAAATGATGAACCGTTTTACAATAGCAGCTGCAGTTTTAAAGCTACAGTAACATTCAGTTTCAGAATTTTTTTATGTGCCAAAATCAAAGAGAACATTTTGTGGTTTTTAATATACATTTACCTCTGATTGTTAAGGATTCAGAAGGGTGAATTGAGGGGATTGGTGATCTGTGTAGAGAACTAAGGGCCTGTTCTCTCTCCATGCACTTCCTCCTGTGTTTCCCGTGCTTACCTGGACTTCTGTCTTTCTCAACAGCAACGATGGTGTGGCTGGTGACTATGGCGAAAGGAGACCCAGAAGCCCAAAGGAAAGTGTCCAAAAACTCCAATTATAATGCACAAGGTAGGTGACTTTCATTTGGTAATGTCCTGTTTTTTTAGGGTCATAGTCATCTTACAGACTGACAATGAGTTATAAAGTGGTGATTTTAACCTCTTTCTTTGGTCATAGATTCCGTTGAAAGTCTCCTGAAAGCTGTAGTAATAGAGAGAAATATTAAGGGGATCAGATTCTGCAAACCCAACAGGACAGCCAGAGCACCGTAGGCTAAGAATTTCTGCCATGGAATCCCACTAATACCATTATGGGAAGGTTCAAGTTGAGGCCGATTTTAAAAAGAAAAAGTATGCTCTCCCTCCAAACATGTTAAAAATGAGAATCTCTTGACTGACATGGCCAGAGTAACTTAAAAATAATTTTACTTTCATATGTGATGCTGTTTATACCGAGAAGATGAAATCTCCCCGGTGGACTTGGCCTTCCGGAGGGGCCAGTGGCGAAGGCCTGGGGCGGGAGGTTGAAAGGTCCGGCGCAGAGCCTGCAGACGACGTTAAGGAGAACTTAGGTTAGGAGCTGGTGTTGGGAAGAGGTGACCAACAAAACTATCCATAGTCAAGAAAAAGGAAACTTTTTAAGAAAAGCAAAAGACTGACCTTAGGAGGAAGCTGAAAAACAGGCCGAATAAAGGGTGGGGAGGGAAGTGAAAGGGGCCTTACCCGAGTTCCTCCTTGTCAGGAAAGGAAGCATTTAGGTTTTATAGAGTCGAGGGAACTGCTGTTGAAGCTGTTGGGTGACTGAGAAAACTCCTGCTGGAGGCCCGGAGGTATCAGGCTCATTCTGCGGCGAGCAAGGCAGCAGAACAAGATGAAGTTGCACCAGCAGTAGACCTGGTAGAGAAGTAGGAAATATATTGGAAGTAATTGCTACAAGTCTGGTTATTGTTTTAATGTGTGCTAAGCTAAAGAAAATTAAAAGGTTGGTTGTTTATGAATATATAGGTTTATATTGTATGTGAGTGTGAGTGTGTGTTTGGCACACGAAGGCTTTATTCTTTTGACAGATGTTGATTGAGCACCTGACTGTATGTCTGATAATTGTGCTGGGCACTGAGGGTATAGCGCTGGAGGGAGGTATCCCAACCCCCTGGAGCTTATAGCCTATTTGGGGAGATACAGGCATTCAACAAGTAATTCATACAGCTGTGATAAGTCCTATCAAGGAGAAGTGTGAGTTGCTATGAAAGATAGTACAGGCATCTCATTTCTTCTGGAAAGTCAAGGAAGGCTTCCCTGAGGAAGTGGCAATGGATGGCCAGCTCAGGAAGGGAAGAGCTTTCCCGAAGAGGAAACATGGGCAAGGGCCTTGAAGTGAGGAGGAGCTGGATGAACCGCAGTGTTCTTTGGTGGGCCTGCTGCTGGTCTTTTGGGCGGGGCAGTGCTTCGCGGTGTGGGGCTTCTCACAGTGCAGAACTTGGACCGTTTCTGGCTCCTCGCCCACTAAATAAGTGCCCATAGTGATTTCAAGGTGTGAGGGTAACCAGACCTCCCCCATCACAGTCGTTCCCAGACACCCCCTGGAGGGGAGGCACCGCCCTCTAGTTGACAGCCACTGCTGGAGGAGCTAGATACTAGGCTGGAGCACACGGGCGCAGGACTCCGAGAGGGGTGTCTGTACAAGGACCACACAACAGCGCGGGGGGTTATCTGAGTGTCAGCTCTGTTAGGAGTTTGAGGATGAGTTGGTCATAATACACAGAGAATTAGTTATGGGGGAAATGAGGCAGTTTTCTGGGCAGCGGGGAGGAACTCATACAAAAGAAGCATATGTAATTAGAGCATATTCTGGTTGTAGTAAAATAGTTCAGTAGTAAATACTGTTTGCGTTATGATAGTATAAAAACCTACCATAAAATTATGACATACTGAGAATATAGGGAGAATTAAATTTGCATGCATGCACGAGTATGGGAGCTATGCTTTATTTCTCTGAAGGAAGCAACTGAGTTTTAACCTGAAACAAAAACATCAGATATGGTGCTGTGCTCGTGCTGCTGATCAGGAATTGCGGAGGCTGACGCCAAAAGAAACAGCTGAAAGGGCTGAAAGTGGGAGTGAGGAGGGGAGGGGCGGGGCAGGGCAGGGACTGCTGTTTTTATTTATGATCTTATGCTTCTATTTTATAAACTCCAAACCAGGGAAGATTCCAGTTTTGTGGAGTCCTGGTTAAGAAAAAGAATACAAATTATAAATATAAAATAGTGAGGGCCCCTCCCAGAAAAAACAATCCATGCAAAGCGAGGCCTGAAGTGTGCAGGCTTTATTTATTCGTGGTAAATCTACCTCTGCTGTGAGCACGTGTCACTTTTCCTTTTAAAAAAAAGGAAAGGATGATCAACTTCACTTAACGCATTTTAATTATTTTTGATGTGCAGATCATTCTCGAGATTGGCACGTTAGGCTCACAATGCTCAGCCGGACCAGCCGACATTGTGAGGGAATGACTGGCCCATTAAAAACGCACTCCCCCCCTCCCTCCCCCTCCCGCTGCCAAGAATGGTCCCCTTTTGTAACCCAGTCACTAGAGCCAGTGCCACCGGTTACAAGCTTTTAGCCGTGGACATCAGAAAACCCGACTCACTTGCTTTAAACAGAGAGGGAATGTGTTCTCTCACGCGCCCAGAATCCTGAGGTGTGGACGTCTGTGTGACTGGTTGATTTTGTGGCTCACTGGTGTTGCCAAGGGCTCAGGTTCTTTCCGTCTTCCTGCTGTGCCGCCCTTAGGTATAGGCTTGGCCCTGGCCCCTGCTCCTCGTGGTCACAGATAACAAGTGCTGTTCCAGGCATCCTGTCCAGATAGAACAACACCCGGGGGAACAGAGGGGTGGTAGTGTCTCCCTAAGTTTATCTTAAACAGTGAGGGAAATCCCCCCGAACTCCCAGCACACTTTGCCGCGTCACACACTGACCAGCACCAAACCCGCAGCCTCAGAGCTCTCACCGGGGAGAGGAGGGGTGGGAGTGCCGCACGTGGCTGGCTCCATCGGGATTTACCACCAGACGCATGCTGGAGGGAGCGGTGGAAACCCAAACACGTCAGACTCTGCCCTCAGGAAAAGGGGTGGGGGGCTGGCTGCTGTGTAAGCAGCCAGCAGGCCGCGCTACAGCCCGTGTTCTGTGGTTTCAGGGCCACCCATCCCAGTTACAGTGACAGTCAAGTAATAACTACTTCCACGTAATTTTCTTAAAGACATTAAGATTTTTTCTGAATATTAGAGGTGTATATTGGCATTTTCTGCTTTCTCCTGCAGGCACAGAGAGTGAGTCCCAAGACCCCGTGGCAGAGAATGATGATGGTGGCTTCAGTGAAGAGTGGGAGGCCCAGAGGGACAGCCGCCTGGGCCCCCACCACTCTACAACGGAGTCGCGAGCTGCCGTGCAGGAGCTCTCCAGCAGCATCGTCGCCAGCGAGGACCCCGAGGAAAGTGCGTGCACCCCCTCGGGGGGTGGGGGAGGTCATGGGTTCCTTTAGGTGCTGCAGCATCCCCCTCTCCCCAGACAAAGTGACTCGAGAGCCTGGCGGTCTAATTCTATGTGACAGCACAGCTTTTAGTGGCAAGTACCAATAGTCGGTGCTTTTCTCATAGCTCCATGTGTTACTGGGCCAGGTTTTCCTCAGGTTTTTTAAATTGGCCCTTTGGCATTCGTTTTATAAGGTCAAAGATTTATTTGAAATTGTTTTTACAATAAGACTTCATAGCTGCAATATGCTTGTGTAGAAATACTAATATTTTTCACTCTTCGCTGTAAGAAACCTATGGATTTGAATGCCTCAGCCTTTTACATTAGTATTTTCTTTGTTGGCAAGCTCCTTCTAACTTCAGATTCATATTTTCTTTTTCTGGGACCAATATAAACTAATAATCGACATTCTCTCATCTTCTTAGCATCCACTCCTACACAGCCATCTCTGACTGTGTTAGTGTTTTAAACCAGACTTATGGTTACTTACAACATAAAAGTCTCCATTTACATTAGAAACTAATTTCTAAAAAGTCCATAGGTTGTCTGGAACAACCTTTTAAAAAGCAGCATTTATGGCCTGGTTGGTGTGGCTCAATGGATTGAGCACCAGCCTCTTAACCAAGCGGTCACCGGTTTGATTCCCAGTCAGGGCACATGCCTGGGTGCTGGGCCAAGTCCCCGGATGGACGTGTGTGAGAGGCAATACCATTTGATATTTCTCTCCCTCTCTTTCTCTCTCCCTTCCCCTCTCTCCAAAAACAAACAAATAAAATCTTACACACACACACAGTCAGCCACAGAATCTGAAACTTCTATTGTGAAAAAAAGAGAGAAAACCTAGCTCAAGCCTAATTTTGTATGATATCATTTCCTGACTTCTTACTCAGTGCAGGGTGGAGTGGAGCAGTGACATTTTTGAATTGTGAAATCATAGCAAAGAGTTACAAACTTTTTATGTTTGTAATCTTTCCTTTTAGGGGGAGTGAAACTTGGATTAGGAGATTTCATTTTCTACAGTGTTCTAGTCGGTAAAGCTTCTGCAACAGCCAGTGGAGATTGGAACACAACCATAGCCTGTTTTGTAGCCATATTAATTGTAAGTATACACTCATGAAAATGTGTCAGAACACCTCACCTCAAAACTCTGATGATGCCACCGCTTGGGGGCAGTCCCGTTTTCACCCCGGCTGGGCTGATGTTCCCGTCATCTGGGGATTTTGTACAGCAAATGATCAGACCCCACCTAAGTAGTTCTCCGAGTGGCCACACGTTAAAATCACCTGGGCCCTTTGAAAACTGTGTGTTCCCACCCTGAGGCATTCTTATTTAATTTGTTTCAATAGTATATCTTATTTTTAAAGTTCCGCAGGAAATCGTGGTAAGTGCTTCTGATTAGAAACCGCTGCTTCGGGCAGCATAGATGTGTAGAAAACCAGCTGTGTCTGAAAGGGGCGAGCAGGTCCTCACTTAGTCCCTGAGTGTGGTGGTGCTTTTGCATTTAATGCGACCACCTCAGCACATGGGTTCCTCTGGGCAGGAAGCAGGAGGCGAAAGAAGTTAACATGATGCCTCCCGTGGATCTTGCTTATGGAGCCACAGCAGGAACCTTGGAGCCTTCAAAACTGTGATTTAAGTAAATAACTCTCAAGATATTTCTTACGCCTTTTTTTTTCACTGAAGATAGAATCTCTGATGTTTCATATGCAGGCGGAGTTAGATGAGAGCCTTTACATTGCATTTATCTTGTGATTACTCTTGTGGTTTATAATGATAATATAACCAGGCAGAATTTTCATGTATTTCATTTCTTTTTTGAGGTGAGTTTTCTGGGTGTGTTGTATCTTTTAAGAAGGAAATTACTTGTTCTGGATAAACTGAAATGATGCTTAGCCTTCCGAACTTATAGTTAGTACCTCGGTAACCACAGTAAAAAATGGACTATAGTATATGGCTGGTCCGTGTTCCCAAGAAAGCAGCAATATACTTTTCATAAACTTTTATTGGCATATTCAGTGCGCATCTTTGTCCCCCAGCCTCCACCCCAGAATAAAAAAATGCTCTTCACCTCTGGGATTTTAGCCAAACTAAATTCATAGTAGCCAATTCAATATTTTAGATAGAAATTTTGGTCGTATTTAATTTTTTTCAAAAATAGTTTTATTTATTTTTAGGTTCTAATCCTTACCTAGAATTAGGGGTTGAGGAATCAAGAATCTGTTCATTGTGAACTCTGTGTTGCAAAGGAAAATGAAAGTTGTTCCCAGGTTTAATGTCCTAAAATTTAACCTTAAAGGATTGTGTTTGATTATCTAAATTGAAACCAAGACTTGTGATTGAGTTGTTTTGCACAGAATACTTTCATAATTACACCTGAGTTTGTGTCTCCCCCCCTCCCCCCCAGGGCCTGTGCCTTACATTACTACTCCTCGCCATTTTCAAGAAAGCGCTGCCGGCTCTTCCCATCTCCATCACCTTCGGGCTGGTTTTCTACTTCGCCACAGATTACCTTGTGCAGCCCTTTATGGACCAGTTAGCATTCCATCAATTTTATATTTAGCGGATTTGTGATTAGACTCCCATGGATTTTTCTCCTTTAACTATAATAAAACCTGGAAGGACAAACTTGATTTTCCTGTGTCCACACCTAACAAAGTCAAGATTGCCAGCTGGATTTTTTGCAGCTTCCTTCCAAGTCTTCCCGACCACCTGCACTACTGGGTACTGGAAGGAGGTGTCTACAGAAAATGGTTCTGAACATACATTACTGTGGTGGACGGACGGAGTCCCTTGGTGCAGAAACCACCAGATCTGCGGGACAAGGCCGAGGAAAAGCGATGGGCCGAGGCGCCGCCGTGCTGCCACCAGCAGGCTGATGCTTGGCCCACGCGGCTTCCATCAGCACTGCAGACTCTCAGGACTACCGTTACCAAGGTTAAATGAAGGGGTTTAAACCAAACAGGACTCGTCATCTTAAATCACACGTTGAAAATCAGCCTACTAAGTCTATACTCAATTCTAAACCTTTTCAGGAGGTACTGTAAGGAGAGCAGGTACCAGCAGCAAAATGGAAAGGTGGAAAGGGGTTCAGATTTTCACTTTCAGACTTTTTGCTGCCGACTTACCATTTTTAAATAAGACTCTTTTTTCACCTTGAGTCAAGTCAGATGTATAAGTTGATTTTGACACTCTTTGTTCTCGAGCACTGACTCATCCCCATCTATGGTTGCCATTTGCTCCCGAGGCCAGTGTGGGTTTCTCTGAGGTTGCTTTGTCTTAAAAGTCTTAACCTCAGGTTCCAAATGCAGTGATTTCTGGAAATAATGGAACTCTAACTCAGCAATTCTCTATCACCCTTAGGTAAATTCTGGTTTATCCCAAATTCCTAATTTTTAGACATAGTCCTAGGTTTGCTGGCCCTCAAAGCCTTCTGTCCCCCATCTCTCCCTTTGCCCCCCCCCCTAAGCAGTTCTTTCATACAGCAGACAAGACAGCTCAGCTCTGTCGTGGTAGCAGATGATCCCACTATTCTAGGATTTTACTTTGCGTGGTGCGAAGACTGTGTTACGAATCAGTGCTATCAGCCGTGCTCTCTGATTTCTTCAGTAGCAAATACAACGAAACCCAAAGACAGTAGCATTAAAGAAGAGTGAAATGGCTGGGGAAGCACTTTCTGTCCTGGTTTTTCTTTTTGCAGTACAACCCATTGTCTCTGATAGTAGGTCAGAATTTAAAACAATAGCCAGAAGCCACTGGTTTATAAAGTTGTGAATGAAGTGTATCAGTACAAAGCAAGAATCTGGAGAAAGCCGTGACTGCGCTTGGTGAGCTGGGGGAGAAGCAGGTGCCAACGGAAGAAAGAAGGGTCCTCCAGCAGCCGTGGGACAAAATGAGCTGATGTCCTGTGGGCAGATGTGAAGGAGGAGATCCAGATTATTCCTCAAGGACCTCTCAGTGCGTGTTGTGTGGCTTCCCTCCTGCCTGACCTTTGGTTTCAGTGGACCTTCGTGTGAGTTGGGCAGTGGAGCCCGGGCCCGTGCAGTTCCATTGGACGGTGAACATAAACAGAGCCATCACCTGTGGGCGCGCACACCTCTACGGGAAGCTTTGCTGGGCACAGCCCTTCCTTTACCACAGGCAGCCCTTCGCCGTGGTGACCGGACTGTAAGCGTCTGTGAGAAAAGCTTGGTTCCTCCGTGTGGCTGGAGAAAGACCAGCTCTTCCTTTCTCCTGCTTTCTCTCGGCCTCTCGGTCTCATTTGGGATTGGTTCTTGGAGTTCAGAGTATTTGTTTTCTGTCGTGGAGTATTCTTTAGAAACTAACTTCAGGCTTAGTGTGCTGGTCCTAACGAACCTGAGTGTGGGCAGAGACTGGCTCACGCCGGGCAGTTGAGAACTGCAGGAGAAATAAGTTGTGCGAAGAAAGAGGCTGGGAGTAGTAGGTTCTCTCATCTCTGTTTTGTTTTTTTTTAGCCCCCTTTTCCAAGATTCTCTTTTTCCCTGCAGACCTGTGGCACCATGGGTATTCTAGAAATGCGCACGATTCAACAGCTACAGCAGAGCCACCTGAGTACCAGCTTGTGGTCTGAAGCCGTCTCGAGGGCTGATCTCGAGTAGTCCATCTGCGAGGGCATCTTTCGTGAAAGGCTCCTCCGAAGAGGCTGTGTGGTGTGCGTGTGTGTGCGCGCGAACCCACCCTTTGTCTGTGTCCTGTGTCGAAAGGTGGTGACAAATCTGCCCCTTTCTACAAGACAGAACCACATCTCAGCGTAGAGAGAACACATCTTATTTCTTTAAATCACCGATCTCAGGCACAGAACTTTCTCTTCAGATTTTCTTTTTAGAATCAATTCAGTTGTTTATTGAAGGTATCAAAATGCTGGTCTTCCACCATGAAAAACCAATTGTCACTAGAGAGAGAAAAGTAAAAATTCCACTAAGGACATGCCCTCACGTGGCTGGGGTGGCTGTGGGGCCCGTCAACAGCAAGGATCAAGCGTGACCAGCCACGCCAACCCCGCTCAGCGGGAAGAGGGAAGACGGCAGGAAAAGGTGTCCACCGGTGTCCGTCTGACCGACCTTCAGAATGAAGCGTGTTTGTGTGCAGAGTGGTGCTACAGACTAGCCTGTGCATGTACCAAGGGCTCACTTCTCTGTTCTTGATTCTCAGGAGGTTCGTGTGTAGTCTCAGCATCATGGCTCTCACTGTCAGTGATTAATTTGCCAGAAGTAGAAGCTTTCGAAGCAGCTTGAAACATTCATAACTGAGCAAATTACTGATTTCACTCTAGAAGCAGCAACTAAACAGGTGGTGTTTTTCCTCTTAAATGCTCGGATCCCCATTTCTAAAAGTTTCCCTTGGTTTTAAAAACCCTCCTTCTGTAGTAGATGCTCGAACAAATAATACGTTCAGTGCTTTCCTTTTCTTGGCTTCAAAGAGCCCTCCATAAGTAGCCTCGTTCATAATTTGTAGAATGTGAGGTCGAAGTTAGGCTTCCACATAAGGCCTTCCGGGTCAGGGTCTGTAGGGAGCCTCTGATTTGGGCCCCCACCCCCGGTGCCCAGCCTTGCATGTTCCCGCATTTGCCATCTGGCCCTGGAAGGAAAAGTCTAGATGTCACTATGAAAAGAAGAGTTCAGGCTCTTCCATGCTGCTGGAGTGTAAAGACGCAGACAAATAAGCTCCGCCCTCAGAGTGCAGCTGCCATCCCTTCCTTTCCGGTGTGCACCATCTTCTCCGAAATACTGGGTGCTTGTCAGGGACCCCCTCACGGTTGCTGTTACTGAGGGCTTACAGAACTGATGCTAGAAAGGTGATTTGATTCTTCCTGAAACCCATCCTTAAAGTACTCCTTTTTCTTTAAGTTTGCCTTTGGCTAGTCGATGAAGAGCGGTTGGCCCACTGTTAGGAACCCTCACCTCCAAGGGCACCCCGAACGTTGGGTCTGGGGAGAGACTTGAAGACTGGACATTGGGTTTTGCCCTGGAAAGAAACAGTGTCACCATCATAAGTTTGGGCCCAGAAGTGATCCTTGTAATCTCCCTGTGTTTTAACTCCCCAAACACAGGAGGTGAAAAACAACAGTTTCAGCCCTTCATGCCCCTTTTGAAATTGCCGAGCTGCATGTACCAACAAAGCTGCCGGCATGCTCGCGTTCCCAAACTACCCAGACAGCCTGATCTGAACAGCCCTCCCTTCTGGGGGAAACACCTCAGGTTTGTGTATTAAAAATTAGCCTGGAGCCCTGGCTGGTGTGGCTGGAGTGCCAGCCTGTGAACCAAAAGGTCACCAGTTAGATTCCTGGTCAGGACACCTGCCTGGGTTGTGGGCCAGGCCCCCAGTAGGGGGAGATGCATGAGGCAACCAATCAACGTGTCTCACACATTGGTGTTTCTCTCCCTCTCCCTCCCTTCCCCTCTAAATAAATAAGCAAATAAATAAAATATTTTTAAAAAATCAGCCTGGAGCTGAAATGAACACCTCAAAGCCCCTCAAACCTCCAAATGAACCCCAGGGCCTCGGGCAGCTGCAACATTCCCCTGAGGAGGTAGCCAGGTCCGCCCTGGGCCCTGGAGTGTGGTGTGAGCACTTCAGTCCGATCTGAGTAACAGGGAAGATTTCCCAGAAAGCAATTTTCCTTTTAAAATAAACAGTTGTTGCAACAGGGCAGCTTCAAACTCGACTGTCGGGAGTGGCGAGTGCGGGGCTGTCCGTTCTCCCGAGTGACCGGCGGGCTGGGAGGCTGATTCAGGGGGTCATTTGCGCTCACGTGCTGCTTGTCTGGCTTTTGCTTCTACAGACACCGCTTTGTACATGATTCAGACTGTGAATACATCTTTTTAAAAGATCTTTCAAATTCTTGTTAAGATAATATTTTGATAGATGACTGCAGATTTTCTTGTATTTATCAAACGAATAAAGCCCGCATGAATGCAGCTGTGCCGGTTTCCTTTCGTGAAAGCAGCGCGGTGCGGAACTGGACGCGCTCCGCGGCGACCGGGCACGGTTCAGAACCACGAACGCGGTGCCTCCACCCTCCGCTCGGGGTGCGGAGGTGGGGTCGAGCAGGCCACCTCTCTGGAGGGCGCAACATTAATCCATCGATGAGAAGCCTCAAAATAATTATTCTTAAAATCTAGTTTCTGAAAACTTTCTTCTGGAAACTGTTTAACTCAGATCAATGTAAACACCGTGGAAACGAGAACTTTGCGGGACGTGGATGCTGCAGCACCACACAAGTAATTCGTGTGCTGGAGGCTTGCCCTGTACAGCTGCCGTGCGGGCCGTGTCGAGGGAAGACACCCACATTACTTCTGCTGGCCTGGCAGGGCGGAGGTTGTCGTGCGGCTCCGGCCCCAGACCCCACCAAATGTTGGGGATTACTGATCAGAAATAGGCCTGTGGTAGAAAAACACAGCCGACTGCTGTCTTCAGAAGGGGCATATAAAAGATGGGGGCGCCCTGGCCCCAGTGGCTAAGGTGTCAAGAAGCAAGAGAGGTGTCCGTTTCCCCCTCTGGGAATCAGAGGCATCCTTCGCTGTTGTGAATCCCATGGGCGGTGCTACTAGAATCCGCCCGAGAGACCCGATGGTCTGTCCTCATCGGCTGGGAGAGGGTTCTGTAGCTGGGGTGCTGCGAGTGACACTCTGGAGGAGAGTGAAGACACAGGGTTGAGGAGCAGGAGTAATGAGGCCGATCTGTGTCACTAGGCAAAGTCACTAGGCAAGGACCACAGTTGTCTCTCTGCGGAGGAGGTGGGGTGGGGGGGAGGGGAGGGCGGGAGAGAGAGAGACCAAGATCCCGCCCTCCAGTAGCTTAGGGTCTGGTTAAAAGTGAAATGAGAAATGACAGCATGCTTGAGTTTCAGTAAGCAGAGTGTTGACTCACTACCTTGAACTTGAATGGGAATGAAGGGTAAAGGAGAGATCCACAAAGACAGGGTTTAAAATCAGTTTTCTCCAGAAACAAAGTTTGAACCAACTTTGGGAAGAAGGGAAGAAGCTGAAGTAGCAAGAGGGCAAAGAACACACACTAAAAACACAGCCAGGAAGGAAGAAGTACGTGGTAGATAGCCAAGGACAGTTGCTTTTTGAGTTAAGGTGATTTATTCAGAAGGAAACGCAAGTAGCAAACCAAATACGTGTCCATATGTACTGAGAATACACCTCCTCCATCACGTGACTTGTAGAAACCGTGGAGGATGGTGAGCTGACCACCACAGGGGCCCCTTAACGCTTGACGAAGATGGGTTCTCGTGTGGTGGGCTGGCACTTCAGTGTCTGGTGTGCAGGCCCTGTCAGGACAGACGGAAGAGCTTCAGAAACCAGGTTTGTGGGAGACTTAATTCTTGGGAGAAGGGGTATCATACTCTTGACTCCGCTGCCGCTGCCGTTTCCCCTTGAACTTGTTTTAATTATGTAGTAGCCCAGGGTCAATCCCTCATGCAAAAGAGGAAAGGATTTTGTTAACCCTTTCGCTGCGGTACCCATGGCATACCTCGAGGTGGATTGCTGGTAAATCCTGACTGCGATTCGTTTTCTCGGGTAGCAGACTGAAGTCAAAGGTGTATATGAACGGGGATGATTTAAAAGTAGAAACGACACAGGGAGCCAGACACGCATATTTGCACTGCACTTAAACACCCGGACTGGGGTGTGCCGCCCTCCACACGTGGCTGACGCGGTGACAGAGCCATAGCGGTGCCTCAAAGGCTGCCAGGGAAACAGGGGAGACTTTGGGGACTTTTTTGTCCAGCAAGAACTAGAACTGAAGTAAAATCTTGTTTTTCTGTTTATTAATACTAATCGGATTCCCCTACACATGCTATAAAATAGCATTAAATTTAATTGTTTACGGACATGGACAAGTATGGTGATTGCAGGGGAGAGGGAGGTATAGGGGTTAAATGGTAATGGAAAAAATAAACGTTTTTTAAAAAAATAAAAAAAAATTGCCCTGGCTGGCGTAGCTCAGTGGATTGAGCGCGGGCTGTGAACCAAAGTGTTGCAGGTTCGATTGCCAGTCAGGGTACATGCCTGGGTTGCAGGCCATGACCCCCAGCAACCGCACATTGATGCTTCTCTCTCTCTCTCTTTCTCTCTCCCTCCCTTCCCTCTCTAAAAAAATAAATAAAATCTTTTTTAAAAAGACTTATTTAAAATAAATAAATAAAATAAAATAAAAAATAAATTGTTTAGTGAAATGACTGGGTTTTAACTTGCATGAGCCAGGTGGATGTGAGTGTGTGATTTCTCCAGATTCTCTGACATGTTGGAAATGGCCCCCGTGCCATCCTGCCGTGGTCGGGGTGCACATGTGCCTGGGAAGCCTTGTTCTGGAGACTCCTAACCCCGCTCCCCTCCCCCCACCCCCTCCTGGGTCAGGACTCAGCTCCACAATACCCAGCCGGAAGACCACCGGTCTGTAAGCATCATCAGACTTGAGGACTCTAACATCCCAGTGGAAGGGAAAGGCTTTTTTCTCCTGGGTGACCTGCATGGGGCCCGGGGGACACCGTCTGAGGACACCACGAGCGTGTCCGCTTTCCAAAGCCCGGCTGGGAGAGCTGGGCCAGACTTCCCGCTTTGCTGATGTGGCCGCTCCCGCGCTCAGGTTACTGCAGTGGGCATTCAGCAGTGCGTTCCAGGGGAGCTTAAGGGCCTTCAGCCTCTGGTGGATGCCCACAGCCGTCCACAGGGGAGCCGGCCTGCCGGCCTGCCTGGAGGTTCACGTGCTGTGATGGCCTGGCCTGGCCTGGCCCATTTGGCTCTCTGCTGAGGGAGGACACCGCCCTGGAAGCCAGGCACCCATTTTGTGTCAGGTGGCCCGTGGCAATGGCCCCAGAGACAGGGACAGAGGAAGCAGGGTCCTCGGCCCCTGTCCATGTGTAGCACGTCATCCTCTGGGGGACTCACTAATGGGCAGGGATGAGAATTCCCCTCTTGTACTATAGATAAATGCATGAGATAAGTCATGGACTCATTACAACTGATTACACCACTTTGGTCATTAAAGCTATGATTCATCGAGGCGCTCGAGCATTTTATAATTGTTGCATGAATTGATTTTGTTTTCAAGTCAAATGCACTGGTAAACACTTTTGGTGAGGGGAGGCAGGTGATCTGGCCCAGAAAGTCCGCATCCCAGTGGGAGTTCACCTAAGACCAGGTCTGGGGGCCACCAGCCAGCCACTCGGCCAGGCCATGCTGACGCTCTGGGTCCCCTCCCACTGGTCCCTGGCTGCCTGGAAGGCTCTGCCTGTCTCTCCAAGGCAGTGCTCCAGACTGCTGGAGGGGAAGGTGGGGAGGAGGGCGACGGCCTGGCGCCCCCTCGCCGGGCTACTGCCCCTGGGGCTGGAGACAAGCCTGGCCCCATCTCCCCACAGGGAACTGGCCAGCCCAGCTGTTTACCACAGCCCCTCCCTGGCTCACCCCTCTCGGCCCCATCCCAGGCCGAGTTTCTCACGGCCCAGCCCCTCCTCCCACGCTGTGTTGCTCCAGGATTCTGGGGCGGGGGGGAGGGAGCAGGGCAGGGATCTCCCCTTTGTCCCTCCGTTTCCTTGAGGTTTGATGTTCCTGGGGCGCCCCCACCCCAACACACTCCTCGTCACTCTCAGAGCACGGCAGCCTTTCCCTGCAGCAGGCGCCCTGCACCGGGAGGCTGGCAGAGGACCGGGTCTTGTTCACCCTGCTGCCTCCGAGCCAGATGAGGGAGCCATGTGGGCCAGGTCACACTGACGGACTGACCAACTGACCGACCGTGGGGTGTGCCTCCCTCCGGCGCTCCCGGAGAGGCGAGGTGTGGGGCCAGCTTCGGCGGGGGGGGCGGGGCGGGATGAGTGCGTATGTTGGCTGTCCCATCCCAGGTCTCCCAGGAGTTGCTCCGTCAGTGCGTGGTGAATGAGTGGAGTAGTGGGCGGACGCTGAGTCTGCGGGAGGGGATTTCCGTGCAGGATGATTTGAGCAGGGCGCGTGTGTGGGAACACGGTTTAAGCAAGAGCAAATATTTATCGGTTTTGCCCTTGTTTACAAAGCTGTGTGGAGAGTGTGGAGCCTGAATCGATTTCCCTCATCTGCCGAAGAGACCAGTATTTACACATCGGTGGTCAGGGTTGAACCCAAACAGGATTCCTTCCCCAGAACACACTTGTGGCATCTGGAGACATGCATGGGTTTGTCCTAGGTCAGTGCCACCATGCTAAGTGTGAGAAGAATAAAAGATGGCACAGTTCGTAGTAGTTCCCCTTACCCTTCATTTCACCAAGAAAAGCTCCTGAGGACCGTATCTGCCCCATAAAACCAACGTCCATTGAACCTTCACCCTGGCTGTGGCCCAGACACTGTGCTGAGCCCATCCCAAGCATGGTCTTGGCCGTCTTCACCCACCTTTGAGTAGGGGCCTGTCATCCTCACTTTACAGGTGAGAACAGGGGAGCCGGGAGAAGATACGGAACAGCCCCAGACTCACACAGGACAAGAAAGTGGGAGAGGCTGCCCCCGCCCAGGGAGGTCGGAGGCCAGGGCCTTTGCTCGTTACCTCTGGGCCAGAGGGGTGATGGACGCCTGCTCCCGCCCCCCCCGGGCCACCTCTCGGGGCCTCCATATCCTCTTCTGTAAAATGCAGCGTCTGACAACGCTTCTCAAACTTTCTCTCTAAAGCTGATGTTGTGTCTTGGAAATTTAAAATTTTAGTATTTGTCTATATTTAGATTTTTATGTATTGATTTGAAAGAAAAACATCGGTTTGTTATTCCACTTATTTATGTATCAGTTGGTTGATTCTTGTTGGTGCCCTGACTGGAGATTGAACCCACAACCTTGGTGTATCAGGGCAATGCTCTAACCAACGGAGCCACCCGGCCAGGGTCTAGTATTAATTTTTATTTACATTAACCTATTGTCTTCTTTGGAAAATGAAGTAACCGCCATGCATGAAG